AACGTTTGCTTCTTGTTAAATCGTTTTTTTAATCTCAACAAACCGATATTGAAAAAAATTGAGATAATCAAGAAAGAAAGAAAGAACCAGGGTTGTGTTGCTTTTTGCAGTCCCAAAAATAGAGAAATAAGAAACCGAAAAAAACGAAGTTGCTCTTCTTTCCCTTCTCCACATTCACACCCTTTTGACTAGACATGTGTTGTTTGTGTTTGTATAAAGCCACGACAATTTCGTTTTTTTCGGTTTCTTATTTCTCCATTTTTGGGACTGCAAAAAGTCAACACAACCCTGGTTCTTTCTTTATTTCTTGATTATCTCCATTTTTTTCAATGACGGTTTGTTGAGATTAAAAAAACGATTTAACAATAAGCAAATGTTAAGGATTTCAATAGGATCTAGCTCACTAGAGAAGGTTTTAATAACTTTTGTGCTTAAAGAGTATCTTACCATTAAATTTCTAACAAAAAAAGGATATATACACTAAAGTCCTAATACTTTCAACGATTTGACAAGAAAGTCCTAAACTTTATTTTTTTGACAATAAAGTCCTAACTGACGATTTGACAAGAAAGTCCTAAACTTTATTTTTTTTGACAAAAAAGTCCTAACTACCGACTAACCGGAAAAAAAGGGTAAAAGTGTCAAAAAATATCGGTAATTTGGACTTTACTGTCAAAAAAATAAAATTTAGGACTTTCTTGTCAAATCGATGAAAATATTAGGACTTTAGTATATATATCCCTGCAATTTATCCAAGTTTTTATTGCATCTTTGTTGTAGGACCTCAGTAGATGGTCCCTGTAAAACCTATCTAAATTCTCAAATAGTTTATTCTTGAAAACCAATCAAGGTGCACAAGTATTACTTTTGCATGTGATGTTATGTTATGCTTCTCGAAATGCACACCATTTTTACACATTGGATTCTGCCTCTTGTGATTTCCTCAACCCCTGCATTTTTTTAATTATTGAAAAACTTGATTTTTTTTCACGTGTTTCTTGATTGCTACTGCTGCTGCCATTGTTTGCAGATAGTCATTACATTTTTCTTATTGTTGTTGCTATTGTTTGCATTTTCTGATTAGCAATTTTATGTAAAACCAAGTACTTCATTTCTTACGTTGGACTTGAAAAGGAGGTTATTTTGGGTCCATTTATGACTGTTGATAATGAGGTTGTGACTGAACAAACAAGTATTGAAGCTATTGTATTTGTGGGCATCAGTGAAAAAAAAAATCACCCTTTGCTTGGTAAATTGGTTACTTATGTTGTGGATATAAATATACATGAGGAGGCTAATAAAAATTGTTGATATAAATAACAACTTCTTGCTTACAATGCTTACAACAGACCGAATGGTAATCAAATTAACTTTAAACAATTTACGCATTCATAACCTCCTTAAACTGAATGAAAAAAATATAATAGTGAAAAAAGCTTCAGGTCTGGTCACATTTTGCTCGAACTAGCAATGTAGTTTTTGGAAAAGGTTGATAGTATGAGTATGAAACTATTAGGGTTATTATGAGGATCTCATTCACTCATGTTTTTCTAAGGTTATTGGAGACACATTTTTTGGAATTGCATTTGACTTCCTCTTGTTTTTTCTAAGGTTACACACCACTTGTTTGTATTCATTCGTTCATTCATGTTTATATGCAAATTATTATTTCAGTATGTTTCTATTTGGATTTGAAATGATGTATGTTTAATTTAGATTTGTATGACATTTTGTACTTTTATAATTATTCAGTTAACAGATACATTTTATCCAACACAAAATAGAACATAAGGGTAATATGGTATTTTCATCATTCAACACAGCCAATCAGATACATAATCAACAAAATGGTTTTATTCAAACAAAGCTTCTAACTCATTCATGTATCTAACTCGATCAGATCTGAATTAATCAACAACTATCAAACAGCCCCTAACAGGGTAATATGGGCATTTTAGGTTTATTTTTTGTTACAGGGTTGGCCTATAAGATATCAGGGTAGTGGAGAGGAAAGCATCTGGATTTTGTTAGAGGATTTTATCCTTTGGGAGAGTGGCTTCTCGAATCTGCCAATTTATCTTTTGTTACCAACCATTTGCTTATTAGCTTGAAGTATCAAAAAACCTTTGATCTTCATAATTTCTGCTTTTGTTCTTAAATCATTTGAGTAATAGTAAAGGAATTGCAGTCTGTTAACTTCATTTTGAGTTGTTCTTGTTGTTTATTACTCGCTAGATTAAGTGAGTTTATACCAAGATACGTAAGTATTCCATTTTAATTGAAAATATAACAATCTTTATAGACTAATTGAGCTTACAAGAGACACTAAAATCAATAGATATATTAAAAAGGCACAAAACTGCATACCTTTTATAAGTTTACCTATACTGATACTATTTATGTATGGCATAAGCTTACAATTTGTACGTTTCTTCACATTACATTAATATGAGTCAAGAGTTTCTATCCTTCCATGTAATAACTAATAAGATGATAAATTTATGTTCTTATGTCACATTAAAACTCGTATTTGATATCCACTAGTACAAGTTAAAGACTCATCAACAGAAAATAGAGCATTTTTATAGAAACAACAGGATATATCCTTAAGAATTATGAAATAATATGAAACAACATCATATTCTTCACCATAAAAGAACTCCCAATTATTCTAAAATAAATTGTGGCTCAGACATAACTGGTTTCACTTTCATCACATGTTTATATCTATTCTTAATCCCCTCTTCAATTCTTCCACAAATCACATTATCTAACAAATCCATTCTCCCTAAAGATTTCAACATCCCATAAACCAATCTATATGTATATTCTCTAGGTATTGATCCTCTATCAACCAATTCAATAACAAAATCCCATGCCTCTAACACCCTTCCACATTCACAAAACGCATGAATAATAGGCGTATAAGAACTAGTACTTGCTACCCCATGTTTCAAATCTTCCATCTTCCTCAACATCTCAACACCCTTATCAATCTCATTAGTAACACAATAATATCTTATAAAAGAATTATAAGTCACACGATTTGGAAAACAACCTTGTTTCATCATATCATCAAACAATTCCAAAGCTCTTTCGATTCTATAAGTCTTGCAACAACCATCAATCAAACAATTGTATGTCACAACATCAGGCTTAAAACCCTTAAACAACATGATCCGAAATAAGTGATTAGCTTCCCACATTCTCCTTCGAATAGCTTTTTTACATTGGGTTTGTAAGCTGAGTTTACAGTATGAACTAATCATGATTGTGTAAGTGAAAGTATCAGGTGGACACCTAAACCCTGGTAACTCCATTTGTTCGAATAAAAACTTAGCCATTTTGAAGTTGTTGACTTTACATAATGCATTGATTATTGTGTTATATGAGTAAATGTCTGGTTTACAATGGAATTGTTTCATTCGGTGAAATGCAGCTAATGCTTCATTTGCTAGCCCTTGTTCTCCTAGGACTTTTATCAAACAGGTCATGGTCGTGGTTGTAATTAGATTGCCAGTGTTTCTTCTTGACATATCTTTGAGAAAGTTCCAAAGATCTTTCAATCTGTTACCTTTAGCTAGAATGATACTCATTTCTCTACAAGTTATTTCGGTATGATTAAACCCAAATTGGGATTCGACCCAGTAATAAAACTCAAGAGCTTTGTTTAAACCTAAGGTTACTTTTTGTGGGTCTCTGTAAGCACCTGGTCCAAGAAGAAGCGTGTGGTTATGGATTTTGATTGATTCTTGATGGAGGTTTCTTTGTTTGAGAGGAGCTCGGTGTCTGAAAGTGTTTTGACGCCCGATGGATCTTGGAGATTGAAAGAAGAATCTTGGAATGGATCTTAGGACATTGGTGATGAGCTCATTCGCCCATGGTGGATTTGAAAAGTGATGGGTTAGAGAGGGAGATTTTGCAAGATGGGAGTCGAATGGTCGGTTTTGGATTATGGCAGCTAATACTTGGTTCACAACATGAGCTTGAGAAGTAGATGCGGCTTTTGAAGAAATCATGCTTCCAAATCAACTTCTAGGGTTATGAATGTGGTAGAAACTAGGGCACATTAGATGGAGAAGCGAGGAGATTCATGAACGCTGTGCTGTGAAGATCATCAATGAAGAATTTTAAATGCGAATTAGAGAAATCTTATGAGTTGCTGATTTTCTGATGTGTTCGCATAAAAAAAAAAAATTAAGTTCCTCATGGAGATCATACAGACCCACAACCTCACAGGCAACTATCACAGTGAGGCTGAGATTGAGACCACAACTAACATCACATAGACTCATGGAGACTGAAATTAAAGTGGAATGTTAAGATTTATTGATTTATTATGCAGAAGAATTAAGAAAAGGTAAATAAAATGAGAGGCTGAGATTAAGCACATAGTACGATTTTAATTTTGAAAGTCGAAAATGTGAAATAACAAACCTGAGAGGCTGAGAAGGAGAGAAACTGAAATGGTTGAGTGGCGCCGGACGTCGATGATGGTGGATGCTCAGCTGTTCGCTGTCGCCGGGCGCCTGAGTACGTATTGGGATTTGGCGGTGTCGCTTGACGGCTTCAGTAGAGTTCAGTCTTGAATGTCTTTTGGGGATGACGAGAAAAAAAAAAACAAGACAAAATTGCAAAAATGGTCCCTGTGGTTGGCAAATTTCTGCATTTTTGGTCCAAAACGATACATTGGTGCACCACTGGTCCAATTTTGGAACTTTTTATTGTTTTTGGTCCCTACACACTTAAAAAGACAATTATGCCCTTACAATTTATATTTTTCATTTTCTTTAATTCCAGAAATACATAGATTAATTTAATTTATATTTTTCATTTATATTTCATTTGTCATTTCTCTCTTAACAAAAGAAACACACATACAATAAAAAGATCGAGTTCTTGAAGGTGGTTGAGTTGACTGTATTTGACTGGTGTTGAAAGACTTCGCCGGAATTTGACACACGTTGATTAACTAGACTCCGCTGGTGGTGGATCCATCTCTCCTTCCCCACCTCTATATAGAATGCTATAGATGAAGGAGGCAAGTCTTGTTTTTCGAGAAGTTGCAGCTCCGGCAAGAACTAACCGATAATCTTTTATCCTCTTCTGTCGGCATTTAGGTGAAACAAAAGAAATTGGATGTTGAAGTCGTCCCTAATTCAATCAGTGAGAACAAAAAATCAAACCATAGTTACTTAAACTGAATGTTGAGTTGCTGGGATTTCAATTTTAAAACCAACAAAACACATATTTATGGAAGAAATCAAAATTGATTTTGAAATCTAGCAAAATACAAACATTGCATTCCTGGGATTTTGATTTTATGACCAGCATAACATATTTTTCATTTTGAAACCCAACAAATTGAGGGCACAGTAGGCAATGAACCCATTTGAAGAAAACGAAAGGGGTTTTGTAGACTGAATTCTTCAGCGTATTTCTCATCTAAAACCTCATTCTCTCCCCTGTTCTTCCTCCATCTCTCCCCTCCGCATCAAAAGAAAAAACCTCTGCCTCGCCTACCTGTTACATCACACCACATCATAAGATACTCCACCATCCCCAAAATCACCGCCACCATCCTCGTTGGAGACAAACTCCCCGATCGCTGGTTGTATCAAGGTGGCGCCAATGTGGATACCTACGAATCTTGGAATGTGATTAGGGTTGAAGCAGCATCCGTTTTTTCTCAGGAAATCGATGGTGGAGCTATACAACTGATGAAGATAAAGAAGAACAAAGGAAGGGTTCTCTGTGTCGGTGATCGATTGAATGCAGAAGGAAGCAAATGGGAGGGGCGTATGGTGGTTTGGGTTTTTAAGGGAAACAATTGAAAGGAAAGTACCAAGCAGCCACGCTCTTTGGTGAGAGAGAGAGAGAGAGGGTAAAGGTGAGTAGGAGGGGTGGGGTAGGTGTTATTTTTTTTTCTTTTAATAATAAGAAATTAAAAAAGAAATTAATAAAAGAAATATAAGGGCATATCCGTCTTTTTAAGTTGGGTGTGGACCAAACCCACACAAAAATGTCAATCATATGGACCAAAATCACATAAGGTATTCAAAATTGGACTAGTGGTGCACCAACATTTCGTTTTGGACCAAAAGTACATAAATTTGCCAACCACAGGGATCATTTTTGCAATTTTGTCAAAAAACAACCAGAGGGTTTCCGTCTAATTACTTAGATATGGTATGGGCAAGGGAGATTTGGTATTTTTTGTGGCATCTCATAACATGGTCATAACACCATGAACACTATTTCCCTCTTGGTGTTATGGCATATCTTGTTGGCGTTATGTGACATATTGAAACGAGAACATTGATTGGCTGCACATTTCTTCTCTCTCTATTTTTCTCCTCTTAACCTCATCATAACATGGTCATAACACAATGAACATCATTTCCCCTTGGTGTTATAAGTTGTTATAACACCACCTCAACGGACTCATACCTAATGCTCTTACGCAGGCTAAAAACACAAACTTTATTAAATATATTATATAGAGTAAATTATCGTATTCGTACTTTCAACATTCATTCCAACCTTTTAAAAATAGGGGTTTTCTAAAAGGGACTAATATTATAAAAGTCCTAAATTTTTAACCCGTAATTGGAAAAAGCCCTAATATTTTTTTTATTATTGTTATGGCCACAACTTTCTTGCAGAATTATCACTCTAGCCCATTTAACGATTTTCATGGTTAATTTGGTTAATTTTTGTTACGCCCGTAGATCAGGGTTAGTCAATTTAGAGACGATAAGCGTCAAAAATGATTTTTTGATAGAAGATTATTTAGGATGAATAATCTTAAATAAGTTGTAGTATATGTTACAAGGATTCCGTACATATAAAGAACGCCGAAATCCGAGTTACAACGAAGAAGTTATGACCTGTCGAAGTTTCGCGACAGAACCGACACGACATTGAATGACGTAAAAAGTGAATTTACGTTAGAGCGATATTTAGCCTTAGTGATCTAAACGAAAGCCGTAGAGTTCGTTAAACTGAGAGCGTGCATAAAAAGAATGCCCAAATCTGACTTCGTATGAGGAAGTTATGATTTTTCTAAGTTTCAGCTTAGCAGTATGCAGCCCGAAACTCGAATTCGAGATCGGGTGATTTCTAGCCGAAACAATCTAAACGAGAATCGAAGATCTCGTTGATAGTAGTCCAACGATAAAACGACAGACGAAAACGGACATCAGATGAAGAAGTTATGAATTTATAACGGAGTTTTCCTGTCCCGGCCTACTA